TTTTACAATTGTAAAGATTAAAAAGATTTGAAAATTCTTATTGATTATATCATTAGAGACGACAACAAGGATAATAAAAAATAACTCTCAATTTTAAGTACAATATAAGTAATTTTTAAAGGTTAAAATTAGTTTTTTTCTTAATACACTAATGACTCAATCTCATCTTTCAAATATTGCTCATAGAAAATAAAATTTAAATGAATATCATTAGTATTGCTTAGAAGCATTCATAATTAAGATTTAAAATTTCTCAATTAAATATCTAAGAATAACAGAATATTGAGACTAATTCTATTATTAAATTTTAAGACTTTTGGGATGATACTTCTTTCAGGTTTAGATAGGAAAATTTGATTATCATTTTATAAACAAATTAGAAATTTAGAGTTATAAAAGTAGAGTTGCAAACTAATTCTAAGGGTAGAATTGAAGGCGAATTAAAAATTTAAAATTAAAGTTAAAATGCACAATTAAGAAAGAAAAATAAATTAGAGAATATGAGAATACTCTTTTTTTTTTAATTAAGTTAATAGAATTATTATCTTGTGAAATAAAAAAAAGAGAAGAAAATTTACAATACTACAAAAAATATATATTATATTATTTAATTAAGTAATTTTATAATTAAGTAATTCGAATAGTTTGAAGGTAAAATTACAAATTAAATTAATTATATTGATTTTAAGATTTTATAATTTAAATTAATCTAATTTTATATCAATTTAATTTAATTTTTAATTAAATTAAATCAATTTAAATTGAATCAATCTGATTGGATTGGATATGAACACCCAACAAGCATCCATCCATCCATTTTGTCGGGCACCACAGATTCTATTTCTTAAAACCGAATAAAATTTCTCCAAAATCGGTGCATGGCATCCTTTATTTGTACTTACAAGTCTATGTTAAAATTAACAAGAAATGTTACCAAATATTATGTTATTCTTTAACCACTACGTATATTATGTTAGACTAACCATTTGTTAAAATACCCATGATTCTTTGACGCATCATGTCATCATTCTCTATTTCTTACCACCATTGGAGGCATTTATTATCCTTTACCATCATTTTGTTTTTGAAACAAAATGACTGTTGGTCGTCCACTATCGCATGGGATCTTGAGTTTTTAATATCCTTCACAGTACACATGCTTTTTGCAAACCAAAATCACCATTAAATAGGACCTTCAAAATCCATTGTCTAACCAATCATATTTTTTCCTTTTTAACACACGTAAATTTTATGCACAAGTATATATTGGGAACCTTTCCCCAAAATTAATAAACACATCAGATATCCAAAAGGCAATTTTTGAGAAATCGCGGAAGAATTAATTAATTTTCAATTCCTAAAACTTGTTTTCATGATATGCAGACTTAGGTTTGTACAATTATTTTATGGGTTTTT